CTCTTGATCTGATAATGTGTAGCTTGCTCATCAGCTCAGAAAAAAACTGCAACGCAACATCACACAGTAGTTGCATGCTCCGCCCACAGTGGCAAAGTCTTACACTTACATATTCAACACAGCTTCTCCAACATGTATTTTTAGATGTTTCATACAGGGTTGAGCATATTAGTTGTTTTCACAGGTGTGCTCCATATTTCAACAATGGCTCATAACAAGACGACAGTCTTTCACACAGGTCAAGTGCCTCTATGCACTTCATTAGTTTAAATATTTACCTATATCACTTCACCTCACATGTCATTGTACTGAATTTAAGCAACCACAAGCTTAATGTAGATTACTTTTAACAACTATCCACCTCAATTACGTCTATGGTCTGGCACACAGGCTGTTGTTGATCAGGGCAAGCCAAAGAATAAACATTGTGTCAGCAAGGGGTGGGGGGAAAGCCATCCACCAGAGCATATCTCAAGTGCTACTGATGTGGGCTGGCCCTGTCCACACACTCCTGGCTGCTTAGGAAACCATGATAACAACAGCAGTCGGTGTCACAGACCACGTGTTCTGCTCCGCACACACTCACACAACAACAACAACAAAAACGACGATGACAACAATGACAACAACACAAAATAGGCCTACTCCGGACACACCGGACCGCTCGGGACACACCCAGCTGTGGGACGCTCACCCACTCGCGCGACAAAACCCAATGAAGGGACGCTCGGGACACACACCCAGGGCGATTTCAAAACCGGACACACCGGACGCTTGGGACCCTTGGGCGATTTAACCAAAACTTCTTTTTCGGGACACTAACCCAGTTATCGCTCCACAAAGCAGCGAACTTCTCAACGCCTCACAAAGTGGCGGAGACTGCACAACGACACGGTTATAGAGTCGGCCTCTTTAAACTTACTTGGTGTTGCTTAGCGTGTAATATCAGCATCGAATCCCGCCGATCGCCATTCATCGAGGAGAAAAGACAGACAGCGAATCCACAGGAACTTCCTGGCTGACGTCAGTCTTTCAGCGTGCCTCTCTCCCCTCGGTGAATGCGATTCCAGGGCTCCGGCTCTCGAAGGACCAATTAATGATAGGTTTGTAGCTTGAACCCATCCGCTGGAACGTTGAAGACAATATAATTACACTGCAAAGCAAGACACAAGTAGGCAAGCTTCTTCATGTTTCTCGTGCACGGGAGAGAACCGGACAGGCGCCGTTCCTTCGCTTGACCCCAGTTGCTCTCGTCCGTTCTCCCGTACACTGTCCTTTTATTGAGGTTACATGAATATGCATAGGTTCATTAACATATGACGTCTTACATAAACACAAAGAGTACCTTGCCTGTGTGTGTGTGTGTGTGTGTGTGTGTGTGTGTGTGTGTGTGTGTGTGTGTGGGACTGCTGATCAAAGGGTCAAACATCCTTGGTCAGGAAGAGGGTAGCCTCCCCCTCACCCTAGATGGTTCATCCTAGATAACACGGTGAGGAAGTCCTGCAGTTCATCTAAACAAAGAGCACTTAGACTAGAACAGACGCAACTACGTTGATCCTGCCGTAAAACAATAAAGACACGGTATGACCTCTCATGCTCCCAAAGTGCTGTCTAATACACACAAAGTTTGCAGACTATCAAGGATCAAAACCTCTACCAATCTACAACTAATTACAAAACTCTAAGCATATATAAGTAAATATTTCTAAGCATAAATGACAATCAACAATACAAACTCTAACAACGATTCTGACTCAAGGATCCAGCGTCGGCCTCAGCTCAGCTGCAGTCCTAAATGCCGTTCCTAGACGAGCGTAATCTGCTGCAGCTGGCAGAGGACGACGAGCGGCAGGTGCGGCTGTCTCTCGAGTAGACCACTTCCGGGTTCGCAGTCTCCTCAGCGAACCCACACCTCCGGAAGCTCACACAGAGACACATGGAGAGACGGAGAGCAAACCAATACAACACACGGAAAACATAAACATAAACATACACTGAAAATGCCTGAGCCCTGGGTCCCTAGACCCAGGCCATGACAGTAGATGTCTTTCTGAAAGTGTTGTTACCGCATTCAAGGATGTGATTTCTCCACTGTTGTCTTCAATTGCATGCACAACACCAATGCAGAGGCTGATTATCTCATTAATTACATCCCCATTGTGTACAACCCTGGATATTGTGGCTCTGAAAAGAGAAACCCTCAAATCACTAGTGCTTGACTCACAAACACAAATCTTCATTTAGCCTGAGAAAAAGATTTTCTTGCTCTTTAAAAAGAAAACAACCTCAGGTCTCTTTTTAAAATTTTTATTCAGGGTTAACAAGGAGTCAGAGCTCTTTTAAGCCAAGCATTCCTGTAATTTTAACTAATGATTTCACAAATTTCTGTACAAATAAAATTGTCATCATCAGAGAAAAAGATAGTCATCCTCAAAACACAAACCATTATTATGGTACTACTTAAACTCTACAATTGATCTCTCTGAGTTAACTTCAATAATTGCTTCCAAACCATCAACATGTCTATTAAACCCTCATTCCTACTATTCCTACCATTAATTAGTGTTTCAATCTTAAATGTGAATAATATATCTCTGTTAATGGGCTGCCTACCACAGGCCTTTATGTTGGCAGTAACTAAACCATTAAATTTAAAAATCTGTCTCCGCATTTTGTGACCCAGAAAGTATAATAAGAGTAAAATTAAAACTAACTAGCTGCCGCCATTGTTGGAAACTGAGCAGGGGTGCGCTGGGCCGCGCTATGAATTCTGGGATAGGTTGGGCCACGAATTATACACCCGGACCCATCCTTCAAATCTGGGGAAATGAAGGCCACATTTGTCGGAGTCTTCGAATTTGGACAGTCTTCGTCGTGTCGCTGTAACGTAATTGGCCTACAAATGCGGGCACAGGAGGATGCGTAGTTGACGTAATCGTGACTAGTCGACTAACTGTGGTAGCCCTATTATGGAGTTCCACAAGGTTTCGTGCTGAAACCACTTCTGTTTACATTATGCATGCTTCCCTTAGCCAGTATGATTAGAAGGCATAGCATGCATTTTTCATTGCTATGCAGATGATACCTAGGTATCCATTAATCCAGATCACACACTACTGCTGGGGGCTTCCCATGATGCTTCTTCAATCACCTCTTTTCATTCTGTGTTTATACACCACTGCATTTAATCATTAGTTATTATTGACTGAGTCAGTCACCTGACTTCAACCCAAAATTAAGCATACATTTCTCTTTGAGAAAGAAAAAACTCTAGCAGAAACTTTTAAGAAAAGGAAGCAATCTAACTCAGTTGCAGTAGAGGCCAAGCAAAGCATTTCAAATTTGGTGAGGTCTGTTGGGTTTCAGATCCAGATACTCCACATTCGCACATTTAGCAAGCTTTGGCAAATGTCTTTGTATCAAAAAACAGTTACTATTCCTATGCCCAGTTTGAAATAGATAACTGCTGCTGTGTTCTTGTCCATCTTTGCTTATTGTTATGTTTTCCATGGACACGCCTTCATAGATTCACTTTATCACTCCAGCCTAAGACATCACCAGTGACAGTTACTATATTCATCATATTGTATGAAAAAGGTTGGGTGGGCATTGCTAACACTAAAATCTTAGAAGCATTAGTTTTGTTTATAAATCCCTTAATGGCAACTTGCCTCATATATCACGCCCTTATTTAATTGATCCTGCAATCATTAGTTGAGCCCTTCAAGTGCCTTAAGTCTTCAGACATTTTTATTATATTTTAATTATACTTTCAAGATCCTTTGAAATGATGATACTCTGTGTTTTTGGCAGATTTAAATAGGGGTTGAATAAAAGTATTATAAATTAAGAAATTGCTTAAAAAATCCTTAATGAGTAATTCATTTTGTTAAACCTCTGCTTTATTTCCTGATTTCTTAATTTCCAATTCATTGTGTTCATGTACAATGGCAAAGTTGAGTCACTGTCAAAATTATGTCACTGTCTGTGCTGTTTTTAACCTCTATTGGTGTCACATGGTATGTAATTGATACAATATTTATATTTATCATCCCTTGTTAATCTGTTTTCTGTCTCTCAAAGGTTACCCTAATATTGTGGCAACGTATGGTCGCGGATACACTGGATTCGCGCCCAGCTACAGCTACCAGTTCCCTGGTAAGTTAATGCTTTCGTAAAATATTGGTGTTGCAGCCGATTTCTGTTTTGCTCTCTCAAGCAGCACAATCAGACACACTTGCACACGCATACACAAAAGATGGTCAGTGTACACGTCAGTCACCAAATAATCTCCAGGGTTATAAGTGTGCTTCGTGTCTGGATTCCTCAACGAAGTTTTGAAAGCTGACATATAGTGAAGTAAATTGCTTACTCCTTTTTATCCCATACTTGAACACCACCATGACCAAATGTCTAAAATGGGAGAAGTTCTTCGTCTTCAGTGGCCCAATGTATGCAAATTCGTCTGTGGAGAAGCGGAAAAATAAGCATCTCTTTTTGTTGGCAGATTTTTAAAATGTGGTCCTTATAATGGAAAATGAATGAAGTCATTTTCTGCATTAAAAGTGTTGACTCAGAGTGCCGGGCACTTTAATGGGACTCCAAATGGCAGGCGTGCAGTTTGGAGGTGAGCAGCTGTACCTGACTGCTGCAAGAAGGGCCAGTGGCTCTGTGGTGCTTCACTTAGACAGGCATCCTGTCAATTTCATGCTTTATTTAGGGACTTTACACATACTTTGTTTGCCATGCCAGACATCATTCCTTCCACTGATAAGACGGAATGAGAAATATCTGACAGCGGCTCAGATCTCTGTAATATCTTTGTGAAATAGATTCAGAAATGGTTAGACAGGAGGTCCAGCTGTGACCACCTGCAGATCAGATATATGCTAGTTTTATACTTGACCACAACACTGTTCCACAGAAGAAAAAGGAATAGCACCTACTTATTAGTGTGAGTGAATATAAAAAGTATACAAATGAGGTCTTCGTTAAGAGTGACTGATTAGACAAAAAATATTATTTAATTCATATAACTGAATGACTCCAACATTTAAAACAATTGCTTTTGTGTATCTTACATGAATCTTAAATACTACCCTTAAAACCATCCTAGCGTGTGTGTGCTAGGTCAACAAAATGAGAGAAATGGGACTGAACGGTAAAGGAATGATGACTATTTTTTCCTTGTAAATAACTCTAGTTAAACATAGATTTTTAAAATGTTTACTATTTACAACAAATTAGGGAATATCACCTTCCCCGAGGCAGAATGTAAGATCCTGTCCATGTTAAACTCAATTTAAAGAGTTTGATAAAGCTGTATGATTAAAACAACCTCCTCTGGGCTCGTTCAACTCTTGACAGGTAATTGGAAATTTTAATGTATGAATCAAGCGTCTTATCCAAATTAAATAACCTCAGGCCAAATATTGACTAGTGTCCTTCCTTACTAAGATGTGGAAAGCATCCTCAATTTAAGATCAAAGGCTTTTTTTCTCACTGTACACTGCCTTGCTGAAACACTCCTATAAATAAATGGTGCTGGGGCCTCGCAGTCTAGATCCAAGAGGCATAAATTGTGAGCAGCATTTCAAGGCTTTTTTTCTTTTTTTTACCCTCAGTAAACCTCAGGGGTCCACTGTTAAGAGTTAAGAGAAGCAGTAAGGAAATTGTTCAATTGTCAAGAAAAAACAGTGATGAAACATTGATTAGTGAAGAAGCACTGAATTAAGTACAACAACTCAATAAGACAGAAACGGAAAAAAAGACAAATCAAAGCTGACAAGTCTGCAGCTGAAACAAGGTTCAAGTGTACAAAACATAACCTAAAATAGAGCTGAAATATACACAGCCTGAGATGGGGAACAGACAACACTCAGTGCAGTCTGTTCAACTCAAAGCAGACACCTGCACCGTGGCTGTTAAACAGTAACTGACACTCCCAATTAATTCCAACATTGATCACAAAGTGCATTCGATATTGATCACATGCACTATGCCTGTGTCTATATTTGTCAGCCGTGACGTGCTTACAGAATAGTTCCATCATAGCATGGGCATCATTACTCTTTAATGCACTTACAAGGATATGCATATTACTGTTACAGATTGCTGATATAAATCAAATTGTACTGTATATGTCAAACATGAGCATGTATCAGAGCACTGCCCCAAAAGGGCAAATTCCAACCTCAAACTGTGGTATTTATTGTTTCTAAGTCCCATTAAGTTCCTGAGCTACAGATGCTTCTCTGGCACAGAAAAAAGTAATGATGTCTAGTTGAGATAAATTGTTATATTTAATGTCAACCATCCAGGTAGGGAAATCCCAAAAAGTTGATTCTGTTCGTCTGGACGTAGTGTTTTCAACTCCAAAGGTTGGACAATTGACTGAAGAAATCCCTTCGATGAGTGAGAAAACTCAAAATGCTACGTCCAGATGAACAGAATCAACTTTTTGGAATGTTATATTTAATATGATAATGAATGTGTCACTTTGGGGATATCCCAGGAAAGCTCTCATGTATGCCACAACTACAGAGAGTGGCGTGATAAATTCATGGCACATCTGCAGACTACAAGATGGATTAATAGAGTTCCTGACAGACTAATGTGACTGTAAAAAGGGCAAAAAGGGAAAAAATTGCAGATCTTGCAGCATCAAAAATGCAAAAAGGCATTTGCAAATGTTTTATGAGGCATAAAATACATTTAGCCTGCAAACAATTCAGCTTGATGAGAAACATCAAATGGAAACAGAAAATTTTTCGGTTATAAAAAAGAGCTAAAGGGTACCTATGGTTCATCAAACATCTGAGGGTTAAAAAAATTAGCCCCAAGTGTCATAATGCTGTTAAACTGATTTACATTCCTTTTATAGTGTGAGATCACAAATTCTGTCACACGTGTCAGATACACATTCAGCTCTGTGGAAGTCCCCCAAAATAAATCTTTGTTCTAAGCATGTTTGTCCCCTTTTTTTTTTAGCTTTTACAAAAACATTTATACCAATAAAAAAAAGTGAGCAGCGTTTGGTAAATATGCTTTCTCTGATGTTTTTTTGTTGGTTTTACAACTATAACCATTTTTTTTTCTGCAATCCTGTAATCACACACTGTTTACCTTGCGGCAGCATAATTTCAACATTATGATTGAACTTCACAATGAACTTAATTTTGGAGACAATGCTGTATACGGGGAGCATAGTGACAATCAAGAAGATAGCGATGTTTGCCTCAGAATTAAAAAGGGTAAGGAGCAACAAAGTGGCCACATTCCAACTAAAAAAACTGTGTTGTGGTTTTTCAGTTTATAAAAGAATTTCTGTATGGTAGTGAATGCAACTACTCAATTGCTTATTATGTTGAAGCATTATATTCTCCAGCTTGTCTGTTGGATGGGTCAGTCTGATGATGACAATGAAGACTTGGGATATTGATCATTGTCTGATTCCACTGTGAAAAAAAATGTAACTTTCATATTGTGGGCTTTTATGATGTCAAATTGATGTCAGGCTGTCATATCAGCATAAGAATATGATGTTACCACTTCCTGTTTGGATGTAAACTTGCCTACTTTAAGATGACGAGCCTGAGTGAGATGGCTGTGTTAGATATTTATCCTGAGCTTAAGGTCTGTTTTCAGCTTCACAGAGGTGGCTGCCTTTTTACCTGACTGGGTCCACGCTGTGCAAGTTACAGCAGTGCAAAGTGTGCATTGAATTTTCTCTCGAATTTACACGCTTGCAGTTTGATTTTAAAAAATTCATAAATGTTTTTAATTTTTCTGCCAATCCATTTTTTACATTGCTGGAATTATAGTAGTAATATATTGACTCAAGTTAATAAAGGATCAGATAATAACATTAACAATTTTCTGCAGTATTACTCTCTTGTCTTGTAGTGTAGTGTGGAATTTTGCAATCTCTGATAATGTCTCTGATTATGGTAGGCGATGGTCAGCTGAGCTATTTTCAGTTCAATTCAGTTTTATTTATATAGCGCCAGATCACAACAACAGTCGCCTCACGGCACTCTATATTGTAAGGCAAAGGCGCCACAATTTTGTGCAGTTGTAGGTGACTACACACAGAAACTAAGAAATTAAAGCAGAAAACAAGGGTTACTGAAAAAAGCTGATAACTACATCACAATTAGCAGACATGTGACCACCTGTCAAGCTCCGGTCAATGGGAAAAAATGACTGGTTACAAGTGGTTACTGGAGCTCACTGGGAAAGTAATGGCTAAAGCCACAGGAGTCCTAGATTACTCCCATTCTTCTGTCTATCCTTCAACCAGAGAAAACGGTCGTAGATTCAAATGAACCACTGTTGACCTGTAGTGAAACTGCAGAAAGTGCGACAGATATCAGAAATGCAGACTGTTTGCTTTCACAGTAAAACTTGAACCTCTTAAAACATGTTGGCTGCAACTTTGAGACACAACTTGTATTAAGCCTGCTTTAAATGTATTAAAGCAGGCTTAATACATTTCAGTTTGTATTGCATTTTCTCTAGTTTTGCTACACCTCGGCTAGTGGTTAGTGAATGTTTGCAGGCAAACATGAAAAATTACAGATTGCCATGGACATCTGGTAGTAACCAGCACTAGGTTACTACCAGATGTCCTACAGTACTAAAACCACAGACCAGTCATTTTCAACAATTGTGTGCACTGTCTCACACACACAAACTCTCAGTTCAACCAAGTCCAAAAATATAATAATCTACAATAGCATTTACTTTTACAATGCATGTTGTTTAGTGGGGCTTCTGGCATTCCTTGCCTTGAACAATCCTCTTCAAATCTGGCTTGTATTCCGTTGTTGCCACTCGAAGCAATTCTTTCACATGGGTGTCAGTCAGAACAGATCGATGCTTTGATTTCACATGTTTTAGGGTAGAAAACACAGACTCGCAGACGTATGTTGACCCAAACATTGACAGTATCTTAAGCGCAGCCCGTTTGACATTGGGGTATTTTTCCATTGGCACACTTTTCCAGAACTCAATGGTCCCTTCCCTTAAAGCAGGTTTCTATTGGTCCTCCTCACAAAGATCGATCATCTCCAACTCAGCCGCAGCTTCATCTGTGACTAGCGGGACTTTCAAACAGCCGGTCTCTGCATTAAATGAGTCAACGAGGAATGTAATCT